GATGAACAACTCTCTCTTTTGTATTGAATGAAACAAACAATCTTTTGATGTATACTTTTCAAACCATGAGCTAAATTCAAACAAACATCAAAGAAACTAGCAAAGAAGCTCCAGATAAAAACCCTAATACCCAAGAAGAAGATTTGGAAGCCGTTCCCTAGAAATTGAATTAATAGCAAATTTATAGCAAACAGAATCGCAATCTCCGCTCAAGTGCAGGAATAGAGTCGCTTGAGCGGTTTGACTAAACCTCGTGTTTCAAAACACGGAACTCCGCTCAAGCGCAAAAACATAACTCCCAGTACTTTTGCAGACAATTCAAACTTCTGGAATCAAAGATTCTTCGCTCGAGCGCACAAATGGCCGCTTGAGCAGTCAAGCAACTTTGACTGCATTTTTGCTTTTTGCTTCGAGGGCATTGCCCCTTGACCCCACATGGGCGCTAAAGTGGCAAACATGATATGATTAAGATCTCATAATCTCCTCTACAAAGGCACAATTTAGGTTGGATTCGCATCTAAATACTCATAACCTCACTGAAATAATATCGAATAAAATTACAACTTAAAGGAGTTTTGTCAAACAAGATTGCCAATAACAAAAACCTAACACACATATCTCAAAGAAACAATCAATTTCTCCTCTATCGATGCATCCCAAGATTTATCAAAGACAATAGAGAACATGCCATCACCAAGTTCTCTAACAATAGCATTGGTAGTTTCAACCGCAATGGCATTAACAATATCCTTTTGAATACTAGGTGCTGTCAATTTAAGGTGTTCAGGAACATCTTTTGACAAAACAGTTCTGAGATTCTCATTTTGATCTGAAAGAAGCATCAAAAGCCCAAGAAAGTTTCCTTGGTTGCTCAAATCTTCAAATTCATCATGCCCATGTAATGGAATCCCTTGTCGCAAAACAAGTCGGATGCAATCAATTGATGCAGTCAATCGAACTCTATAATCACTCTTGGTTTCATCAAGTAGCTTGGAGAAAACTGTTTCAATATGTTGCTTTTGATTTAGTAATTACTGACATTTTCTTCAAGCTTGATTGTGAGGGTTGTTAACACCTCTCCCACATGACCTTGCAACCTTTCTTTCTTCTTCCAACTTGAAAACCCATCAACAACAAAAGACTTACAACCTCCTTGGTCTCCTACAACGGGTTTAAAAAGGTAACAACAAAGGCAAAATGCAGCATCTTTAGCTATGCTATACTCCAACCAACTACCAAATTCACCAAACCATAAAGGGTTAAACCTTCTTGATGATTGCCCAATTTTCCTTCGTGGAAAATTGTGATTATGAGGTTGACAAGGGCCTTTTAATAAGTACACCCTACGAACTTGTTCTCAGATGATATAATGATAATCTGTAATCTGAGGTCGTAGCCCCGAATCTTGAGGAAGGTCTAACAAGTTGATTTCTATACGACTCTGTTTTGGAGACTCGTCATGAATCGGTGAAGATGATGATTCTACGATCGATTTTCTTTTATAATATTGTTCCATAACTATAAAAATTAAAACACACACACATATACAATAATAGATACCATATTTTAGGCAGTAGTATGTTTCAATGAATTGTTAGCAAAACTGGAAAAGAAGATTTTGAACCTAAATAAATAAATAAAATAAAGGGTTCGGCTTCTCATGTTCACATCTCAACATGAGAGAACTTGAGGGACCAGTGAGGCCCATCACGATTTCCGTTTTGATAATATGAGTCGGTCATTTTGTAAGGTCCTCGATGTATATTATTCCAAAAAAAAATTATGTCGATCCCATAATCATAATATTTTCATTTTATCGTGTTTATCTCTAAAAAATGGCTAATCCATTTTCTTAAGACAAATGAGAAAAAATAAAAAGGTTACGAAGATCAAACTAATTTTTTCATGGTTGATATACATTGAGGGTTCTAGAAAATGAGCAGTTAAAGATCATTGAAACGGGATCCATGGTAGGCCCACGAGCCCCTCAAGTGTTCAGGTTCAGATGTGAACATGGGAGAAGCCAAACCCTAAAATAAAAATACAACAGACATACTTTTAACAGAATTCCTCCACAATCTTAATTTTGAGTGAACCATCATAAAACAACCTTATCTCTACATATTGGATGAGGTCTGTTAATGTTGTATATCTTCTTTCTTGTCACACATTTTCCAATTATGACAATCACAAATAAGAGGGAAAAAAAAAATCAATGTAACAATTATACCATGTTATCATCAACATAAAAAAAACATGGGCAAAAACCACAAAACAATCCACTAAGAAGACATAAAGGAATTACACAAGTGTACTCTCAATTACCTAGCAAATCCACGCTCGAATCGAACCGACCCCTATGTGCCTCTTCTAGCCCCGTCTTCATCTTGGAATTGTCTTGTACAACATTGAATCCACAATGCCGATATCGAATCACGATAATGAGCCACTCTAGAATCCACAAAGCTTCAGGCCCCGAACTCCACGGAATCCACCGAAGAACAACACTTTCTTTTGTATTGAACGAAACAAACAATCCTTTGATGTATACTTTTCAAACTAGATTTAAACTCAAACAAACATCAAAGAAACTAGCAAACAAGTTCTAGATAAAAACCCTAATATCGAAGAAGAAGATCTGGAAGCCATAACCCTAAAAACTAATAGAACTACATATTTATAGAAAACAGGGCCGCGAAGGTCGCTCTAGTGAGGAGACTAAAACGCGTGTTTTTCCAAGTGTCATTGCTCGAGCCACCAAAGTGTCGCTCGAGCGAGAAATGCAACTTCTCAGTATTTTTACAGTCAGTGAAAACATCTGGGACCAAGGATTCTTTGCTCGAGCCCACATTCCTCCGCTCGAGCGACCAAACAACTTCAGCTCGATCCCCGGCATAGTCAGCGAAGTGGCAAACATGAAAGAATTAACTTCTGAAATATCTCTGCAAGGCACAATTCGGGTTGAATTCGCATCTAAAAACTTATAGCCTCACTGAAATAAAAGATGAAAAAAATTACAACTGAAAGGAGTTTTGTCAAACGGGATTGCTAAGAATAAAAACCTAACATTTTGAACTCTCAATGACATTTCTGAGGAAATGTCATGTTACTTGCACTCGAGGATTGACATCGACATCCACCTTTAAACGGAAATTTGAGGGCAAGGGGCCATTCCCTTGACTCCTATTGATAAGAATTTTAATTCATGAGAAATTGAACAAAAAAGGGCTGAATTAGCCTATTTCTTGCACGTACAAATCAAATTCTTTTTTGAAAAAGGAACTAAAGATTGAATGGTTTCTCAGCAAGAGAGAAAAAAATGTTAAGAATCCTCTTTTTTCTATAACACAACTGATGTTTCTTTAGAACACTAATAGATTAGTGAAGCTTGAAACTATCTTCAATTGACAACTCATTTCCATTTACATTAGATGACAATTTACATTCAAAAGCTTGCAATTTACTACTCTATCAGAGACTTCATGACTGTCAAAGCATATATTTACTGAAACAACAGAGATAAAAGGCAGTCATGTGACAAGGCATTAACATGTTATTCATAGTCATAGCACATTTGCAGTCTTGGAAAAGGAAATGAAGAAAAAAATGTAACTTATATTTTATTTATATTTTACTCAGTTTTCTCCTTTTCTTTTTCAAATTCCGACCCAAATCCATGATCTAAACACAGCCTTAGGAAACAAAAAAATTTGACATTGGGAAATAAAATCTTGTTACATTTGCAATGAAAATTGATTGATTTGTATGGCCAATTTTTTCGAATGAACTTTTAGCAATTCAGTTAAGGTAGCTTGTAATTTGTAACTAGAGGTGTAATGTGAGCGGGTGCAGTAAGATTGAAGATTTATAGAAGTCAACTCCAATTCACAAGCATTAAAACCACAATAATTCCCCGCTTCACGAAAACCTCAAGAAACCCTAATTTCAATCTCGCATGCGAGTCTTCGAGAAGAGAAACGTAGATTTCTAGGGAAATTCTTAGTGGGTAATCTAATTTGAGGGTTCAAATGAAGGAAGGAATGTTGATGGATTGGGAATTGAGGCATGACATTGTAAACAATTTGTAGAAACTGTGGATACGAATAGAATGATGCAAATACTCTTTTGTTTTTTTTTTAAAAAAAAATTAATTTGGCTTTAAATTTGTTTCCTTAAACATTTCGATTTAATATGAATTAATCAATCTTTTCATTAAAAAATTCTTTTTATTCTAAATTTCTCTTAATTTTGATGCAAAAATCATCTCCAATGTTTTATCATTTTAAGTTTTCATTAAACTTAAATTTGACAAAGGATTTGATGAATTTTTAATTTGATGGAAAAAAAAAATTTCCTTAATTTGATAACCATTTGATTAAATGATTACAGATAGTTTTTGAGTATTTTTTTTTAATCAAATTTTAACTTGATGAGCAAAAAAGAAAGTTAAGAATTGGACATGCTTGAATGGAAAAACGATATTTCTTTTATATTGACTGTATTAATTTTATCCCTTTAGCTATGTTAAAAGAGAAAGTGGTATAATTATGTTTAAATTGTGATATTTATTGTATTTTCTCTAAATTTTAGAGAAAATCAATGTAATTTTTCCTTTCCTTTCCTTTTTTTTTTTTTTTTAATTACCTTTGGCACCTGATCAAAAAGCTAAATTTTGAGCTTAGTGAAAAATAAAAACTTATATTGAAACATCAATTAATCAATATTTTTTAACTTTTGAATTCTCTTCACATGAGTAAATTTTTTTTTTTTTTTTTTGGTTCTTTTAAGGCATTGTCAAATAGGGTTAATTTTTTATTTCATAAATAATCAAAAAAAATTGCTATTTAAGCCTAAACCAAACAGAGTCTTAAGGCTCATAGTAGTCATAGTCATTCAATCAATACTCGAGTCCAAATCCTCTGCAATGATTTCCTGCCATGATCCTACCGTGGTGCCAAAACGAGATCGTTTTGATAATAAATTCAAAAAAAAACATTTCCTTCTCCTTTTGCCCTTTCTCCTTCAATTGTTGTGACAGCCCTAAGCCTCAAGAGAGAGGCAGACTCGAATAGCTCCTCCGACGCAGAGGAGGGTGGGCGACGGCGACTCCGGAGGCGACAGTAGCTGCAACTAGGCGAGATGAGGCGGCGGTGAGGTCTCCTCTTCCATCTTCATTCTCAAGTGGTGCTTAAATATGTATGTATATATATGATTTATATGTATATGATTTCTTGATTTGAATTTCTTGTTGCTTTCGTAAATAGGTTTGATTTCTAGGAGTTTGCTCCCCTCTTTTCCTTTCTCTCTCATCAGTTTCAAAGCCCTAATCAGTTTCAAAGAACAGAGGAATGGTCTGAACTGAACCCCCTCCATTGATTCTTTGTCTTCCCTTTCCATCCGATCTCCTATGGCGTCAATGTCTAGATTTGTTGCCAAAGATTGTAGATTGCAGCCTCACCATGCTCTTTACAAGCAAAACTATTTGCTTACATATAAGGAAGATTGAATCCACAAAAATAGTGGAAAAGATGAGTGATTGGAGTAAGGTAATCCATCTTCCCAAGGTCAAGATATGGTTTGTGTTGTCAAAATTGCACATATGATGTGTATGTAGTTAGGCCTCAATGAATTGTGTTAGTATAATGTTCATTTCTTAGTTTACGGTTTGATTGAGCTGATTAACAATTGTTATTTTTATTGAATGAAATTGTTATATGTCTCAAAACAGAGCAATTCAATTTTTTCCACTTCACACGAGTGTGTGTGTCATTGGAAAATAATTTTGTTAAATCTATAATTATGAACATTAGGGTTGAAGCCATAGACACAATAGTGATGAATTTGTTGTGATGTGTTAATTTGAGCTTCTTTTTTTTTTTTTTCTTCTCTTCTTTTTGCAGGGTTGAAGCCCAACAAAGTGTACTATTATCAATGTGGAGATCATTCTATACCAGTAATGAGTAATGTGTCCTACAAATGCAACACAAAGAAGTGATGGAATTATAAGAGAGAGTTGTGCTATTGCAAAGTGAAGTTACAAGATATGGAGAGTGTTAGTGAACAACTTTGATTTTTGACCGCGAAGACACAATAAGCAATAAACATTTGATCGTATAATTGGTGTTACTTGTAATTGCTATTATTTTAATTATGAAGCAGTAACTATGTTTCAATGTTGTAATTGACTAGTTTTATTTTTGAAATGGTTGGGAATGTAAAACTTCTGAAAATTGTGAAATTTGAAATGTTGTTGCTATTATTGAAATAGTTGGGAATTTAGAAGTTTTGAAAATTGTTGATTTTGAAACGTTGTTGCTATTATTGAAATGATTGGAAATGTATATCAGTGCTGTTCTTGCTATCTTGACAAATATTAAGGCTTTTTGATGATTGTCCAAATACATAGATGGAATGCCATAGAAACAACCAAGTTCACTCCAGGTGAGAATTTTATTGGAAAAACCAAACAGTCCAGATTAATGCTGGAAAACTTAAGCAGTCTTCATCCTTAGTTTATCATTCTGTCAATTAACACAAGGTTGAAATCAATTAACATCAAGGCAATTAAACCAAAACATTTTGCCAATTAACATAATAAGGCTGAAATCAATTAACATTCAATCAATTTTGTTCATATCAAGGCTTTTAATTTGAACATAAGGCTAAAATCACCAAAACAACATCCAACTAAAATAACATCTAACTAAACCAAAACATTGTATCTTTCATCGCCTCAACACGTCATTTGAAGGACCACCTACGTGACTGCCAGCAGGATTGTTTTAGGCTTGCGATGTGAGTCTTGAATTGCAAAGTGACAAACACTTGAATCTTGAATCAACTCCTAGAAGAATGTGGGAGCAACATCCCCAGTTTCGGCTTCCAACAATAAGTGTCCAACTCATTAACAATATTGTTCCATTACCTACAAAAGCACAAGGATTTCAATTATCAATGATTTGAATTAAAATGGAAACCCCAATTTCAATAAAAATGATAAAAAAAAAATTACAACAAAAATGATAAAAGAATTTTAGCAACATCAGTGATTTAACCATCATTATGCCATTGCAAAGAAACAATAAAATATTTAAATATAAATAAGGATCAAATTAAGAATAATAGTCTGATCACTGAAAACCAATTAAGTCAATAAATAAATTGGCTTCTAACCACAATTGTTCTACTTATAATCAATCACAATTTTTTTTTTTCCTTTTTTTTTGGGTAATTACAATTGTTTTATTCCATTACCAGCAAAAACATAGATTGTATGGCACACCAAAAAAGAATGTCAATTCAATCCTAATTAAACACATACTGTATTATCATCTTCACAAAAAAATTATGTCCTTCCAAGTCATCAAAGTAAGATATCAAATTACTTCAAAGTTTAGCAAATCTTTTCAACAGGTCCTACCTTGAGACATCATGCACAGCCACAACCAATTGTTGTTGTTCAATCACAAAATCTACAAATTAATAATCACAGATTACCTTGGTCATTGTATGAGCAAAAACAGAAGTACAGTCACAGTGAAACTAGGAACTCAGAAAATTACAAATCATATATGAAAATATTATAGGAAAAACCATATTATATTTGCTTTAACAAATCCCATGTAGGTCCCTCTTGTTCAAACAATGTAATGGGAGAAATCTCAATTTTTTTTTATAGATACAGAGTGATTTGGAGAATCAAAAATTGATATGCTCAGATGAAAAATCATACATACAATTTGATTTTTGGATTCCTATTTTTTGGAAGGAGAAATCGTAAAGGGGAAAAGAAGGGGAAAAACCCCTAGAAATCAAACCCATTTACGAAATCAACAAGAAATTCAAATCAAGAAATCATATATATATACATATAAATCATATATATATACATACATATTTAAGCACCACATGAGAATTACATATAAATCATATATATATACATACATATTTAAGCACCACATGAGAATGAAGATGGAAGAGGAGAGACCTAACTGTCACCTCACCTCGCCTAGCGCAGCTGTCGTCACCTACCCTCCTCTGCGTCAAAGGAGCCGTTCAAGTTCGCCTCTCTCTTAAGGTTTAGGGCTGTATCAACAATTGAGGGAGAAAGGGAAAACAGAGGAAATTTTTTTTTTTTTAATTTAACGCAGAAACGACGTCGTTTTGGCATCACGACAGGGACCATGGCAAGAAACCATGGCAGAGGATCTGGACTCATCAACACTCCATAGTATTTGAGAGAATTGGCAGAGAAACATCACAATATAAAAAGACAGAATTAAAACTTTCTAAAATTAAAAAAAAAATTAACTTCTTAGAACACAATAACAATTTCAGTACACCAAACCATCATTTTTAGCTATAAACTAGAAAGAACAAAAAACAAAAAAAGGAAAGAGAAAATAAAACAATGCATTAAAATCACATGGTCACATCAGTTGGATCCATGATCGTATAATGAAATGTACAGTACTAATTAATCAGACTTCACAATCCCAACAACATTCTTGCCTATAAGCGACCTTTTCAATTAATACCATTTTCATACTACAATTAATAACAAAATTCCCACGTCTATAGAACAAGTGCTAGTAAATATCTCTAGTTTGATCCTCCAATCACCAATGAAGATGAATAATAATAATAATAATAATTATCATCAATTCTGTCTGTTGATAGAAAGGTGTGAAAGAGAACAAAAGCTCTGCTGGACTACAATATCAACGAGTAAAAGCACTGCTCAAAGACTAACATATAACATTATTTTCTATGCGAATTCTCTATCTAGTAGCCAACATTTCTATTACTCAAAATGATTTAGAATGTAACAAGGGGAATGGTTGTAACTTGTAAGATTGCATTTCAAAGATAAAAACTTGGCAAAGCCTAGTCTTTTGTGACTGAAATCCAATTTAAAAGCAACTACATACAAAAGTGAAAATCTCCAAAGGATGTTACACGATGTGAGATAAAAAAAAAAAAAAAAAGTCATGACATGAAACTCTTATTTAACTCAGGGCTTTAAGAAAACTACACAACTTAACTTTAGAATTTAATACAGCAACAATGGTAAAGCTTTTGAAGTGATCTTGTGTAGCTGCTATCTGAATGCACATACACTCAAATGAAGCAAATTGGTGAGGCACCCCTTCAACTGGATTCCATTTCTTTATTGTGAAACTAAGAAAAATATCTAGTTTTGAAATAAAAAGCATTAGTAACAAAAATATAGCCTATAGATAGAAACCATAAAAAATAATCCAACAAAGTAATGTTGCAAAGATAAATTCCAATTACCTGATAATGCCATTTGTCTTTGTTGATTTCTTCTTTCACTGCATCAGTGGGCACCCTTCTTAGACCTTTTCACATTCGTATGATGTTTTCCGCCAACAATTTTCATAAGCCATTCTGGTCTTCGAGTTACAAACATAATATATCCCATAACCATTCCAAATACAAATCCGCATCCATACCACAACACTACAACTTGCCAGCTAAATCCACTTGACTTGTCTAAATTCTCGTCTTGTTGGAATGTTGGTGGAGGTGGCAGTGGCTGTAGTTCCTTACATTTCTTTGATAAAGGGAATCCACGTAAGGCCAAGTTCCCACTGTATGAATCACTTCCAAATGTATTAAACCGGTTCCCTTGAGGAATTAATCTTGCAAGTTGGTTGTCCTAAAGGTTTAGTATCTCAAGAAACATCAAACTCATCAATTGTTGAGAAATCACCCCAACAAGCTCGTTTGAAGAAAGGTCCAATGATTCAACGTTTGTTAAGTTTCCAAGTGAAGTTGGAATGTGGCCTTCAAGGTTGTTATGGGAAAAGTTTAGACCCCAAAGTGAATTAAGCCTCCCAATGGATTTCAGAATCTCTCCTTAGAATTTATTTATTGAAAAATCAATGATTGACAAGACTGTTAAGATTCTTGATAATTCAATCTCAGATCCCTTAATCACCACCACCACCACAGAATCTTCATAATAGCCGTTGCCCATGTATTTCATGTTTATCAACATTCATCATAGCTCCAAATTGTTTGATATAATTTGCTGGCAAAAGGCTAGTGAACTCATTGCAAGATATGTCAATAATTCTCAACTTAGGAAAACGATGTTTGCCTTTGGTCTTGGAGGTGCCTATGCGACAATGAAACCTATTAAAACTCAAGACAAGAACCTGCAATTCTAGAAGAGTTTTCAACCAGTGTGGAAATGTATCATTTGTCTTGTTTTTTCCAAGGTTTAGAACTTCCAAATTGAGCAAAGATAGCGGAACTTGTCCTTCAATTTGGTTGCCATTCAAGTTAAGATTCCTTAGCCAATTGCCTTTTGTAAATGCTGCAATAAAGGTGCCGTAAAAGTTTGATCCCTAAATTCTGCACGAAGAGATTGCTCAAGTTTCCCGAACATTGTGGAATCAAGCCACTCAAACTGTTGTTAGACAAATCAAGAATACCAAGTGACCTTAGACCACAAATCAATGGAGGGATTTCTCCAGTCAATTTATTGTTTGAGAGAGAGAAAAGAATTGTGGTGATAGGTGGAACAGGGAGTGGACCTCTGAGTAAGTTGGAGTGCAGGTCAATATATTCTAGCGGCTGCCATGGAAGACTCTAAACTTGTAAGGAAATTATGAGAAAGATCTAAAATACCCAATGTATTTTCCCCCACATCAAATATCCATTTGGGAACTTCACCATGAATTTTGTTGTTTGAAAGGTCTAGAGAAGCCAATCCAGCTTGCTCTCTCAAAAAGTTTGGGAATTCGCTCAAGTTGCAAGAAGCTAATCCTATAGTGTTAAAGTTAGTCAAGGTAGAGTTGACACTGTTGTTGATGCTCAATGAGAGACCATTATATGAGAGATCAAGAGAGATCAGATTTTTAAGCTTTAGAAGCTTATCTAGATCCACTACACCACTTAAGTTATTTGATGAAAGCACCAAGTCTGTTAGGTTCGGGAGTTCATAAACTGATCTTGGAATTGGTCCCTGTAGCTTATTGTCACTCAAATCTATATTAATCAGTGAAGGTAGAGCAAACAACGAAGATGGTATTGTCCCAATGAGTGAGTTACGACTCAATTGGAGAGAAGTTAGCATTAAAAGCCCAACAGCATATGGAGGAATGGGACCAGTTAGCTAATTTATAGAAATGTCCAAGTCAGTAAGTTGGCTCATATTGCCAAGGGAATCCGGTATTTGTCCGTTCAAATTGTTTAGTGAAAGAATCAAGTTAGTAAGCTTTGCAAGGTTTGAAATTGATGAGGGAATTTGACCGCTGAAACTGTTAGATGAGAAGTCTAAATCAGTGATTTGTGTAAGGTTACAAAGAGAAGCTGGAATGGACCTTGAAAAATTGCATTGAGAGAGGTACAAACTATTCAAGGCTTTAAGATTGCTGCTTCAATCAGGCAGTTGACTAGAAAAACTTGTCCAAGAGAGATCAAGAAACTGAAGGGAACTAGTCACATTGAAGTTTGGAAGTTTACCTGTGAGTTTGATATTAGCCCGTAAGTTGAGCTTTCGTAGGTTTGGAAGGTGAAAAATATTTTCTGAGAATTTCCCATGCAGATGACAATAAACAAGATTGAGAGATGTCAACGAAGATAGATTTAGTAAAGCTTGAGGTAAAGGTGAGGTCAAGTCCAATCACACGACCATGCAACCAGTTGCACGTGACCCCTTCCCACGAACAACAATCAATACTCTCATTCCAAAACACCATTTTAGGATGAGAATCAGATTCACAATCTAAAGAGGCACTGCCAGTTATGGTAAAAGTTTTCTTAAATTGGAGCAATGACAATCGCTGGTCCTTAAGGCAGGTATGGCATGCAGAAGTAGAAGAAGACCATGATGATAATGAAGAGCAAGTAGTAGTAACTACTATTTGAGAAAACAAGAGAAATACCAGAAGAAATTGATAAAGAAACATTAGCCAATTCATTTTATTTTCTTATAGGAAGGATTTAGAGAGATATGAAAAGGAGAGTAAAAATGATAGTAGTTTGATAATGGAGAAGGAATAAATGTACTATTATTCAGAGCTAAGTCTTTCTATGGTGGTAGTGCAACAGCCCAGCCCAGCCCCACCAGTCAAGCACGGCAACTATGTAATTGTATCCATCAGCCATCATGCCAAACAAAGCTGGACTTCCACCATCAGCCATGACTTCCAAGTTGGCAACAGTGATTCTTTGTCTTTAATTCCAGTGGTCCCAAAGCTATTAGTAATGGTCCCGGCCCTATGGGTTTAGCACCGTAACCGGCCAGTAATCCGAGATTACCGAAGGCCTACAGAACAGTAGAACAGTAAAACAGAGTACAGGGCCTGGCGGAAGCCAATACAGTAAATAAACAATGTCCAATGAGCTGTGACAGTCTGTATTTTGAAATATATATATATATATATGAATTGACCAAGATATTATTTTTCACAATTTCTTTTATGAAATATTAAAAAAAAAAAGACTTTTTGGATTGTTTACTAAATATATTTTTCAGAGTACAAGGCAATAGAAAATGATGAATCCTATGTCATAGTACTTTTGATCAAATTGTTAAGTTTGATTTTGTTTGATGTAGTTTGTTCAATTTTTGCAAGTAAAAAATATATTTTTTTAAGTAAATTGAAATTGTTTAAAAAAATGTTGTCCATATTTTAATAAGAATGGTAACATTGGAATAAAAGATATTATTAAGGAAAAGTAAACTTTTTTAGAATAATTTTTTTAAAAAATAAGACTTAATTGTCTACATTAAATTTAATAGGAATCATTAATGCTATTGAAAATAAGATTTATTGATAATTTTATTTAAATTTATTTTTGAACAGACTATGTTGCTCTAGTACCCGTTGATAATTGTTAGAGATAGGATAGGACAAAACCCAACTTAGGTGGATGGGAGATTTCTAAAGAATGTGATTGAAAATAATTAGAAATTATTTTATAGAACTGGCCTATATTCTATGTGGTTTGTCCTTCCAAGTGTATATGGGGCCATATAACTAATTTTTCATACATTTTCTCCTACATTTGAGACAAACTAATTATGTGTCTCATTGTTATAAGATGGGCACACAATCGAAAATTATCTAGTAAGTTCAGAATAACATGTGTCCATCTGCCCGCCCAATAATATTCTATAATTTATCTACTATTTCCTTATTTTTTAAGCCATGTATGTATTTAGCCCCTACTATTCATTGGGCACACTGCCAACATGAAATTCCAGCAAAATAGAATGATTCCTTGCACATATCCACTTGGTAGAACAAATTCACTAGATAACTTGGAAATAAGGGTATACTTTGAAGTTGAAACATGTTGATACATGCGAAACAGAATAATTCCTCGCACATAACCACCTAGATTATGTATATTATTGCTCTTCTGTTTATCAAATTGTTTTGTTTGATATAGTTTCATAATTTTTACAATTGAAATATAGATAAATTATAGAATATTTCGAAAGTAGGGAGGTTGACGCTGATAAAGAGTGTGTTGTGTAGTATTCCGACTTATTTCATGTTTGTGCATGTTATTCCAGTGTTGGTGGCACAGCGGTTGGAGAAGCTTTAAAGGGATTTTCTATGGGGTAGTGGAGGAGATGAATTTAGATACCATTTGATTGATTGGGGGCAGATTTACCAATGTAAGCAAGCAGGGGGTTTGGGGGTTAGGCGGTTGATGACTTTCAATAGAGCCTTGTTAGGGAAGTTGTGGCGTTTTGCTTGGGAGCATGATAGACTCTGGCGAAGGGCGGTCGCCTCTAAGTATGGGTTGGGAAGAGGGGATTGGGTTTTTGGGGATGTGACTAGCACTCATGGTTGTGGGCTTTGGAAAGGGATTTGGCTGGGGAGGGTGGAGTTTTGGAGGTGGGTAGGGTTCAGGATGAGGGATGGGGTGAGGGTGAGGTTTTGGAAGGATAGATGGTGTGGTGAGGTTTCATTGGAGACCCATTTTCCTTTGATCTTCGATATTGTGGTTGATTGGGAGGCTACAGTGGCATCTTATTTAGGGGGTGGGGATATGGTGGTTTGGGATATTCAATTGCGGCGGTAGGCGCAAAATTGGGAAGTGGCTCAGTTGGTGGAATTGTGGGGTCTCTTGTATGGGTTGGGCATCACTAGTGTGGGATCCGATGTAATGATGTGGAATGGGGTGGGGGCCAAGGGGTAGTTCACCGTTTCTTCATTATATTGGGGTTTAGTGGGAAATTGTAGTCAAGGCTATTAAAATCGGGATCCTAAGTAGGATCGGTGAAAAGGTCTGGTGGATCGGATCGTAGGATCGGATCGAGTATCGTAAGATCCTTCTTTCTATTAAAAAAAAAGACAAAAATTAAAATTAAAATGATACATATTAAAAATAAGGTGAAAAATCATAAAACCTACTTACGATCCCATACGATCCCATACGATCTTACACGATCCCATGCGATCCTACACGATCCTACTTGCGATCCTGTTGTAACATCGATCCTACAACGATCTGAATCGTTTTGGCAAAATAGGATCGTAGGATCGTACGATCCTATGATCCGGATCGCGATTTTAACAACCATGATTGTAGTAGGGTTTTTCCATGGAAGAATGTTTGGGTGTTGGGTGTTGGGTGTTCTGTCAAGGTGGCTTTCTTTATGTGGACAACTGCTTTGGAGTGGAATCTAACGTTGGATAATTTGATGAGGTGTGGGCATGTTTTAGTGAATCGATACTGTATGTGTTGTGCTAATGCGGAGTCCGTGGATCATTTATTCCTTCATTGTCCAGTGGCCACGCGGCTGTGGGGTTTCATTTGTTCACTCTTTGGGGTTGTTTGGGTTCAACCAAAAGGAGTGTCGGATATGCTTTGGGCTTGCCCGACTGCTCAGATTGGGCATCGGTGTCGGCGTCAGTGTTGGCGGGTGTGGTTGCTAGCGCCATTATGTTTGATGTGGCTTGTGTGGTTAGAGCGGAATAGATGAACCTTTCAAGAGATTTATTATGTTGTTCTTTGGTTAGAGAATTGGCTTCTTGTAATTATGTATAATTGGTTGGAGAGGACAGTTGATCCAGATACATTTATTTTTTCATATTTTCTAGATGATATGATTGGTTAGTGCTTGTGACTGGTTTCCCTAATTGGGGATGTCGTTTTGTACTCGTTGCATCATCTTGACGCCTTTTCAATAATATTTGTTTATTTATCAAAAAAAAAATTTTTTATTAGAGATAGAATAGGACAGAACCAACTTGGGTGAGTGGTGGGAGATTTCTAAGGAATGTGACCGGAAATAGGTCATAATTATCTTATAAGTCTAGCTTATATTCAAGTGTATTAGAAATGTAATTAGTTTTTCTTTCATCTTTCTTTTTTTAAATATATTTTATACCAACTAATTATGTGCTTCATTGTTATAGGATGAAAACACAATCACCTGGTAAGACGGATCCACTAGATAACTTCTTCAAAATAAGGGGGTACTTTGAAGTTTGATACATGTTGAACTTTCAAAGTGGTAGAATTCATACTCAATTTAGAACTAACAAGCTTAACTCAAAACCATCAACCACACCAATTTTATTCATTTGAAACTTATTTAAATCCGTGTTAATTTCTTAAACGGATTAAAAGTATTGTATTTTATTTATTGCACTCATTTTCATACACAATGAACAATACTTTAAAGTTTCTTAACATGTACCCTAAGAACATACATTAATAAAATTCATATTATATTTAATATATATTCTATAGTTGTACACTTGCACTTTGATATTATATATTATATATATAGATTGTTATTTTTTTAATTTTAAGAACTATATATATGATTTTATGTATATAAATATAAATGTATATATTTTATTAAAAATCTAAAATGAAGTGAGTCTTACGATTCACAATTCATTTTATTGAGAAATCAATTCATGATTCAATTCACGATTTGACACTTGAAAATAAGATTTATTAATTTATTTTTGAATGGACAACATTGCTCTAATTCCCCTCAATAATTGTTAGAGATAGAATAGGACAGAACCAACTTGGGAGGGTGGTGGGAGATTTCTAAGGAATGTGGCTAGAAATAAGTCACAATTATCTTATAAGTCTAGCCTATACATGCAAAACAGAACAATTCCTAAATCAAGCTATCCCTCTCACCATGATAGCCTCAAGCTATCTCTTGACAGCACCAACATGATAGCCTCATTTGGAATGCTACTGCAAATATCTCTCTCTGAATGTACAAAACAACCAGGCTATCATTGATCAACTAATCACCATTTTCGTCGTGAAGACTGTCCTTCACAATCTTCTTAGCAGAAAATGGCCCATCTATTGTAGCAGTCGCAACAGGTAAAATCCTTTGGTCTCAGTATGATGATTTACTTCTTCACAGTCTGTGGTTTGAGATTATTGTAGATAAGATATTCCCTCAATCTAAATCAAGCTAAACCTTACCTCCTACCCAAGCTTGCTAATTATTGCCACCAGAGTTAATTAACAAATTGAGGCATAAGAAGCTGTTCCACATGACCAGGTGATATGAAATTGGCATGAACTCAACATAAAAATCTATTATGTTCCTATTCATGTCGACAGTTGCAGAAACAAAATTTTTATAAGAAAAAAACCAATTGGAGTAAAATAAAAAAAATGTGTACCTTCCAAGGCTAAAGAGTGGTAAATGAAGTTTCAGCCATAGGAAAAAATGCAGAGAGACCCAGAAGAGCAGCCAAAAGCAAACCTTGCTCTTTGAAACCCAAAGAACCTGAGAAAGTTTCAGCCAATAACTCTTCAATAACAATATGCTCTGTCCTATAACCCATAACCCCATAACCCGAATCCACAACTCCTTCCACCGCAAAAACTCTTCGGCAACCAAACACTAAAACCACAATAACAGTAGCAGCCAACGCAATAATTCTCCGATTTACAAAAAAACCTAATTTCAAACTCGTAATCGAATCTTCAACGCCATGAACCTCACTTTGTTGGAATCTGCAAACAAAACCCTGATTTTGTTGGGATCTGGAACTGAACAAGTCGTTGCGAGCATACGGGACGATGCAATTGGTGGGAATTCGAGAAGAGGAGCAGATTTGAAGGGAAATTCTTGGTGGGTAATCTGATCTGAGGGCGAGAGGCAGGGAGAAATGAAGGGCTGGAACGAGGGAAGAATGTTGATGGATTGAGAAGTGCGGATTCGGCTGCTACTTCCATGAGAATTCTGAAGTGAGAG